TTGAATATGGAAAGGTGACTGTTTCCAGAGATGTTGTGCTTGATGAAGAGGCATGTTGGGATTGGAATGCACAGAAGGAAAGAAAGGTGAGTATCCAGATTACTGAGATGTCAGAAGGAGAACAAAGGTATGAAAGGAATGCTTGTGATTCTGAAACACAATGTGAAGCTAGTGAAGAGAATGTTGTGCTAAGCTCAGTTACTGAAATCTGTGATCAAGAAAGAATGACAGGTCCACAGGATATTGATCACACTCCTCTCAAGTACAGACGTATTGTAGAAATATATGAGAAGTGTAATCTGTGCATTATAGAACCAGAATGTTTTGAATAAGCTGCCAAGGATGAATCGTGGCAGAAGGCTATGGAAGATGAAATCTCTATGATTGAGAAGAATAATACTTGGGATCTTGTTGATAGACCATTTGATAAACCAATCATTGGAGTCAAATGGGTTTATAAAACAAAATTAAATCTGGATGGTTCTGTGCAGAAAAATAAAACAAGGTTAGTTGCAAAGGGTTATTCCCAGAAGCTTGGAATCGATTTTAATGAAACTTTTGCACCAGTGGCAAGACTTGACACTATGAGAACTTTGGTGGCCCTTGCTGCACAAAAAAGGTGGAAATTATTTCAGTTAGATGTAAAGACTGCATTTCTAAATGGAGTGTTGAATAAAGAAGTGTATGTGGATCAACCATCTGGTTTTGTCATACAAGGCAAGGAAGACAAAGTGTACAGGCTCAGAAAAGCTTTATATGGCTTGAAAGAAGCTCCAAGAGCTTGGTATGAAGAAATAAATTCCTATTTTGCAAATGCTGGATTCCACAGAAGTCCGAGTGAAGCTACACTATATATCAAGACATCTCACAGTGGCATTCTCATTATGTCACTATATGTAGATGATATTATCTACATAGGAAGTTCAAAGGAGATGATGGCTGAGTTCAAAAGTGAGATGATGACACAATATGAGATGACTGATCTAGGATTACTTCATCACTTCCTTGGTCTTGGAGTACTGCAGACAGACAATTACATTTTCTTGAATCAAAAGAAATATGCAAAGACTTTGCTTGAGAAATTTGGACTTAGGGATTGCAAGCCTGTTGCAACACCATTAGCTATGAATGAAAATCTTTCAAAAGTAAATGGAAGTGATCTGGCAAATGAGACTTTGTATAGGCAAATGGTGGGAAGTTTGCTATATTTGACAGCAACAAGGCCAGATATCATGTTTGCAGCAAGCTTATTGGCTAGGTTTATGCACAATCCTACCAAGAAGCATATGGGGACAACTAAGAGAGTTTTGAGATACATTCAAGGCACTGTGAACTATGGAGTTGTTTATGAGAAGGGAAAATGAGCAGTGTTAGTTGGTTATTGTGATAGTGATTGGAGTGGAATTGAAGATGACATGAGGAGCACATCTGGCTATGTATTTAATCTCGGTTCGGGTGTGTTCTCTTGGGCCTTAATCAAACAAAGCAGTGTTGCTCTTTCAACCGCAGAGGCAGAATACATCAGTGCAGTAGAAGCCACTGCACATGCCATTTGGCTAAGATTTGTACTCTCTGATTTTGGGGAAGAACAAGCAGAACCAACTCAGTTGTTATGTGATAATACTTCAGCAATTGCCATATCAAAGAATCTAGTTCATCATCACAAAACCAGACACATTAATCGAAAATTCCATTTCATCCGAGATGCACTTCAAGATGGTGAGATTGATCTGGTATACTGCAAGACTAAAGAACATGTTGCAAATATATTCACTAAAGCTTTGGCAAGGGATCGATTTGAATTTCTGAGAACAGCTTTGGGAGTGATTTCAACACATCACTTAGAAGGGAGTGTTAGTTTATAAGTGTATATGCTAAAATGTAATAAGAATTCAGTTTAAATGTCAGCCTTTGGATCATAGTCTAAGTATGCAGCTAAGATGTAATCTTAGTGACACATCCCGGCCCGGGTTCCACCACATCTCGAGCCCGCTCCACCACCGTAGCATGATATTGTCTGCTTTGGGCCCCGACTACGCCCTCACGGTTTTGTTTCTGGGAACTCACACGAGAACTTCCCAGTGGGTCACCCATCATGGGATTGCTCTCGTGCGCTACTCGCTTAACTTCGGAGTTCTGATGGAACCCGAAGTCAGTGAGCTCCCAAAAGGCCTCGTGCTAGGTAGATGCCATGTGTCATTACCTTATAGGGTAAATGAATGAAAAGCTAGATTTAAATGATGTGATGAAGGAATATTCTATTCCTAATTGCTACATGTGCTCAGTGTTCGTGTGAATGAAAGAAATCATCTCAGTTTTGCTTCTTCTTCAAGCTTTAGCTTTAGCTTTCTCTCTCTAAAATTCCCGCTTTCTCTCTCTTACACTCTTAATCTCCAGTATTCATAGATTGTTGATTTGAAGAAACTTACATACAAGATAACAGTCTGTATGCTAACAGCAAATTGTACCCAGAACACTGTATATCTCATCTCTCCAAAGCGTGCCACTGTAATAATAACTTCCAATGAAAATTATCTTTGGCTGGGACATTAGTCAAACAAAAAGCTCAATCTGAAAGGAGACAAGATATATGTTTGTGCACACTTTGTAGGACCAGCGACTACTGATGATATTCATCTCAGGGTGAAGAAAATAGGGATCAATCTGGAAAAGGAAAATTAATCAAGGAATATGCACTCGACTGTCAACCTATGCCATATTCAAGTGAGTGCAAAGAGGAAGGCAGTCATAAGGCAGGACACAGTGATGACTTGTTCCATGAGAATGAATCCCGCAAAAGACTAAGTTCTGATCCCAGCGTTGAAAGAAATGCAGAAGAAGAAACTGATAAAGCATGCAAGAAGGAAGAACAAGGTACATAAACTGAACTTGAGCCATTAGTCCTTTTTTGTTACTCATTTAATGTATTCTACATATTTCCCTTTCGTATGTAAGAAGTGAAAATATAAAATTTTTGATAAAATGTTGATGCCAAGCAAAAAGTAGGCTTATTTAATTTGGTTAAGTTCTTAGTTCTGAAGTGGTTGGGAACGAGGAAAGAAATCAACTGTCCTAAAATCTTAAAACTCAAAACCTCTTTTCGCTTGAAGTTCTCTCCAGTCGCTCACAAATATCCAAAACTAGCTTGTTGCATTTCTTGCACTGCATATTCTTGAATGTGTGTTTCTCCATCTTTGCCTTCTTCTTAATCTTGTCTACGTCAAATATATTGTTTTTAGTTGTCCCCGCACAACATGTGCGTTAGGCTAGTTGGCCAAGACAATGTGCACACACCTTGCACTAAGTTCAAGTCCCCCTCCCGGTGAATTAGAGTAGTTTGGAATATGGTAAAAATAAAAAACAAAACAATCTTCATCGCACAAAACTTTTGATAGTTCCAATTTGAAATCCTTATTGGATCCGCAACATTCTACTTCCACAATGAAGAAGCGTTGTTTTCCCTTTACTGTTTATTTTTCACCATAAGAGTGCCGTACATTATTAACGTGCATGTGTTGTTAAAACCTTGTCATAGAAAATCTCTGATGGCACAAGATCTGGTGAAGGAAAAAGTGTACAACATTTAAAGCGAACAAAGGAAGAGCAAAAGGAAATAATACATTGGAGGGGGACTTTGCGTTTGACCCTGTAGGGCACCATGCTCTGGAAGAACATCCCGGATCACATCAGGTGGTACTTCAAACTACTCAAAACAATCAACAACATATAAGGCACACATGGCCAGTCTGAGCAGTTGAATTCGCCTTGTGGCACAGGAGTGTATGTCACACCAGATATCTAGAAAAATGATAAATTTGGATAAATTTGTGTTCTCATGAACTGTTTAATTCGCAAGAGCGGTGGTGCAGGCTGGTAGTTTATTGAAACACAACGTTTAAGTCTTCTATTAATTTGGTTTATCTTTTTTTTGGTTGAATATCAACTTGGTTGGGTGTGTTTTGAATTTTGATCTTATGGTTTGTTTGCTTTATTGGCTCAAAGATGTATTTTGGAAATGCTGGTTCAAAGAAGTTTATAAATCATTTTTGAGTTGCAATTTGAAGCTAATTAGATAAAAAGTTTCAAATTGAACTAAAATGTTAACAAAACCAAACAGAGTGACCAACCTAACAAAGCACGTGAAAATAAGGTGATACGTACCATGAAAGTGATGAACAAAGTTGTTAACTTTTGAAACAGAGTCACCCATCTGCATTGGCCAACATGTGACCACTTAACTTCAGTTTACAAGACTCATTCTATTGTTTTTTTTTTTTTTTTATGTTCTTTCAAAATAAATGCTTAGCTCTAAACATAAGTGGTCATGTGTTGGTCAAAGTATATGGGTTACCCAAAATGTCCTTTAAATTATAATTCGTGTCTATCATATTTTAAAGCGAAACCTACTCTTCTATCCTATTAGACACACGTTTAGAAGTTTTAAGGACCAGTTTGCGTCTAACAAAATGAAAAAGACCAATTTGGAACAAAAAAAAATTGGGAGGACCAAAGTGAAAAAACCATAAAAATTGAGGCAGAAAATATAAAATCAACTCTTAAATTAAAAGAGAGACTTGCCCCTTTATATAACGGTCTAGTAGTATTCCACATTGACTTTACATTTCTATAATGTGTGGAGGAGTTCCTTCAAATTCTCTTAAAAAAAAAAAGAGTTTTTAGCCGACTTTGACTTTACTTTCCTATATTGTGTGTGGTGTTTGTAGATATATATCACAAGTCTGAAAGTATTCTTCATCTATGCAAACACAAAAACCTCTGCCAAGAAAAATAATCAATATTTAAGAGAAAAAAGAATGTAAATATTTTATAATTATTAAAGTCATATTTTAGGAAAGGTATTATATTCTTTATTTGTTTCCTTTTGTAACCAGGATTGTATGTAGTATTTATATTATGGAATACAGAGAAATCAAGCCGTAAATTTCAATTGACCATACCAGACCAGACCAAAACAAGTGCAGCAACACACAATTGTTTCGATGGATACCTCGACGTCCTCCTCATCCTCCTTAAAACGTTGGAAGTACGACGTGTACTTGAGCTTTCGAGGTCAAGACACATGCAAGAACTTCACGAGCCACCTCTACCAGGCTTTGACGAGGGCCGGACTAAGAACCTTTATAGACGATCACGCCCTAGAAAAAGGGAAAAGTCCGGGCATCTCACTGACTCGAGCAATCGAAGAGTCTAAAACCTCTATCATCATCTTCTCAAAGAGCTATGCGGAATCAAGATTGTGTCTTGACGAGCTTGCGGAGATCATGGAGTGCAGAAGAACACTGGGTCAAATTGTTGTTCCAGTGTTCTATGATGTCGATCCTTCAGATGTCAGGAAACAGACCGGTACTTTTGCAACAGCTTTTCTGAAGCACGAAATGCAGTTCGATGAGGTCAAAGAAAAGCTACAGCTATGGAGAGACGCTCTGACTGAAGCTGCAAATTTATCTGGTTTTGATGTTGGAAACGCCGATTGGTATATAAGTTACTTGCTTATTTCATTTTCTTATTTTGTCTGGCTTTTAAATTCCCAATCCAATTTTTTACATATTTAAAAACATTTACATGTAAAAACCGTATCAAGAAACAATAGAATGATGCTTGTTTGTTATTGTTGAACCAACACGTCCACATCTTAATGTTGCAGTTTTGTATAATAAATCTAACTTTTGCTTCATTTGGACTTTTGCAACCAGGGATGACGCAAAGTCTATCACGGAAATTGTCGCAAATATCATCAAAGTCTTGCGCCAGAGCACTGCAGTTGGAATACATTCTCGGGTGCAAGAAATCAGTAATTATTTAGATGTTGGAGGATCAGATGATGTTCGCATAATTGGAATTTGGGGTATGGGCGGACTGGGTAAAACGATGATTGCCAAAGCCATTTTCAACAAATATCAGGATACGTTCGAAGGTAAAAGTTTTCTTGCTAATGTGAGAGAAGAGAAACTGGTTGATTTGCAAAACACACTTCTTTCCGATGTAGTGAGATCGGGAATCATAAAGGTTTGTAGAGTTGATGAAGGGACCGAGGATATAAAAAGAAGACTTAGCAACCTAAGGGTACTTGTCATAGTTGATGATGTAGACAGCGTGAAACAGTTAGAAGCATTAGCTATAAAATTTTACTCATTTGGTCCAGGTAGTAGAATTATTATAACCACAAGAGACCAACATTTGCTAAAGATACTAAAAGCGAATAGGATATATCATCTACCAGCAATGAATAAAGAAGAAGCTCTTGAGCTCCTTTGTTGGCATGCCAACAATTATCCTAGTAAAGAATTTCTTCAAGTCCCAAGGGGTGTTGTTGATTACTGTGGAGGTTTGCCACTAGCACTTGAAGTTTTAGGTTCTTATCTATCTGGGACAAGCATAAGTGAATGGAAAGGTAAGTTGGAGAAATTTAAAAGTCATCATAGTATGGAAATTCTCAATAGACTTAAAATAAACTTTGACGAGCTAGCTGATGATGACCTGAAGGCTATATTCCTTGATGTATCATGTTTCTTTGCTGGAATGAACAAGGACTATGTCATGAAAATATTGGATGGCTGTGACTTATATCCAGAAATCGGAATCAGTGTCCTCCAAGAACGATGCCTTGTAACTACTAATGATGATTTCACGCTGGTGATGCATGATTTGCTTCGCGACATGGGAAGATATATTGTGCATGCGGAATCCCTTGATGACCCTGGAAAACGCAGTAGGTTATGGCATCACGACGATGTGATAGACGTTTTGAGGAACGAATTTGTAAGTACTTTCACAATCAAATTTTATGTCAAACGCATGCAGTTAATAAATATGCATATCACACACATCTAATAAATTGTATAAGTTGGATGTTTCAACAGTATACAAAACAATGAAAGACACCCACATATAATACAAGTTGAATGAAAAGCGAAACAGAGCATAGAAAGGAAAGTGTAGGAGACATAGAAGGAACCTAGTGCATTGAATTGTCTCAAATTAAATAACAGAATTGTGTATCATATATGTTCTGCTCTTCTTAGATACAAGAGGTAAAAAACCCTGTAGCAGATGCTTACTAAGATACCTAACAAATTTGGACACGGCACAACGGATGTCTGAGCACAAATTATGTCTTTAACTCAAAGGTACCACGGCAGGTCATAGGTTGTCTACGTCTCTTGTAATTCATACATCCAATGCATAGTTTTACTTCATGTTTATAAATCATCTTTCCACATGCAGATAGCCCTTTTCTTACTCAGTTTCCTTCCCCCCCCCCCCCCCCCCCCTTCCTGTCTCTCGCTCTCTCTCAATAGGGAACTGAAGCAATTCAAGGACTCACTTTAGATTTGCAAGAGTCTGACGAGACTAGCTTCAGTACAGAAGCATTTAGAAACATGCATAGTCTGAGATTGCTCAAACTCAATTACGTCAAGCTCACTGGCAGTTACAACAATCTGCCCAATGAGTTAAGATGGTTGTGTTGGCATGGATTCCCCCTTGAGGTCATACCCGAAGATTTTGATCACCCAAACATAGTTGTTATTGACCTCAGCTATAGCAAACTCACACGAGTTTGGGAGGATTCCGATCTGGTATGTTATGACTAACCAATTATTAGTTCATTCCTCTAGGTTTTGTAAACATCATGCTTTCTGTCTTATATTTGAATTTGAATATTTTTCCTTTTATCTGACAGTTGCTTGAGAAGTTGAAGTTTCTTAATTTAAGTCATTCCCATAACCTAACACGATCACTGGACTTTTCAAAAACCCCAAATCTTGAGAGATTGATACTCAAAGATTGCAAAAACCTTCAGGCAATTCCAGCTTTACCTACAAATTTGGAAATCCTGGAAGCGGATGAGTGCATTGCATTGGAGAAAATGCCCGATTTTTCAGAAATGTCAAGGATGAGAGAATTGCATCTGAATCACTCCCCCATGTTGGTATATGGTCCAGCCCATGATCAATGTTCTAGATTATTCTAGTAAGCAAGAGAGATGGCTGGAGCATGCTAGACAATTCTAGCATGTTATTAAGTTGATGGAAGAAGCTAGAGAGTACTAGCTTCCTTGGTTGCAAATGGAAAGATCTAGAAGCCACACTTTTGTGGCTAGTCTAGATCTTTCTATGCTAGAGGTTTGAAGAATACACTAGAAACTAGTAGAATGCCAAACCCTCACCTATAAATATGGGTGTGATGTTGTAGTGAACCAACAAATCAAGAGAAGAGTGAGTAGCAAAGGATCAAGTCCAAAGCTAGAGTTCCACTCCAAGAGTGAGAGTGAGAGTGTTCCACTACACATTGTGTGAGTGAAGTTTAGAGTGATAGAAAGTGTGTGTTATACTTTCTTGTATCCATCAAGCCTTGTCTTTGGCTTGGTAAGACTACTCTTGTTGTATTCATCTTTTTCATATAGTGAAGATTGATCCTTGTTTGGTGGACGTAGGCATAAATTGCCGAACCACATAAATTCTTGGCGTCCATTTTCTACTTTACCTTGTGCATTCTCTATCTTGTAGTACCGACATTCCTAACAAGTGGTATCAGAGCCCGGTTGGCTCGTACTACGAGATGGAAGGAAGTGGCACTATGATCAAACTCACCAACTCCAATTGGGTAACATGGAAGCCAAGGATGGAGGACATTCTCTATTGCAAGGATTTGCATGAGCCAATTGAAGGAGATGCCGCTAAGCCCGAGAGCATGTCCGATGCCGAGTGGAAGAAGATGAATCGCAAGGCTATTGGCACAATTAGACAATGGGTGGATGATAGTGTTTTTCACCATGTGTCTAATGAAACCAATGCTCGCGAGTTTTGGACGAAGCTTGAGTCCTTGTTCGAGAAGAAGACCCCAGCCAAGAAAGCCTTCTTGATCAAAGAGCTCATCAATGTGAAGTACAAGGATGGTTTAAGTGTAGCAGAACACTTGAACAATTTCCAGAATATCATCAACCAGTTGGCTACTATGAAAATGACGATCGAGGACGAGCTACAAGCGCTCTTGTTACTTGGATCCTTGCCAGACAGTTGGGAGACCTTTGTGGTGAGTATAAGTAACTCTGCTTCTAATGGTGTTCTTACTCTTGATAATGTTAAAAATAGCATGCTCAATGAAGATACAAGGAGAAAGATTTCTGGCACAGATAGCAGCCAAGTATTTGTCACAGAGAACCGCGGAAGAAGCACGAGTAGAGGGCCTAGAGGTCATGGCAGGAGTCCTAGCCGATCCAAGTCAAGGTTCAGGGGTGCATGCCACCATTGTGGCAAAGAAGGCCATATGAAGAAAAAATTGTCGAGTTTGGAAGAGAGAGCAAAGGGAAGGAAACAATCAGAAGAAAGATGATACTGGCAATACCACCGCTGTCATATGTGGTGATGTACCAGAAATATTGTCTGTTGGTGAATGTCTGCATATGGGCAACTCTGACAGAGACATTGAATGGATCTTTGATAATGGAGCTTCCTTCCATGCTACGTCCAAACGGGAGTTCTTCAGTACATACAAAGAAGGTGACTTTGGCATAGTGAAGATGGGGAATGAAAGCTATTCCAAAATTCTTGGAATTGGTGATATCTGCTTAAGAACTAATCTCGGCTGCCAATTGATGTTGAAAGATGTGAGACATATTCCTGATATACGTCTCAATCTGATATCCATCGGTACCCTTGATCGACAAGGATATTATCACCATATTGGCGAAGGAAAATTGAAGCTTACTAAAGGCTTAATGGTGGTAGCAAGAGCACGACTTTGTTGTACGTTGTACCGGTCAAATGCCAAGGTTTTGAAAGGTGAGTTGAATGCTGTGGAAGACTCATCTCTAGACTTGTGGCATAAGAGGCTAGGCCACATGAGCGAGAAAGGCCTACAAGTTTTGGCAAAGAAGTCTCATATTCCCTTTGCCAAAGGTACGTCGTTAAACTCTTGTGAGCATTGTTTTATTCGGAAAACAAAGAAGAGTTAGTTTTTCTGTTCCATCTACAAAGAAAGGAAACTTGTTAGATCTTGTTTATTCAGATGTGTGTGGTCCCATGGAAGTCGAGTCACTTGGAAGAAATAAATATTTTGTTACTTATATTGATGATGCTTCACGAAGGGTGTGGGTGTATTTGTTGAAATCCAAAGACCAGGTGTTTCAGACATTCCAGGAGTTCCATGCCATGGTGGAGAGGGAAATTGGGAAACCTCTCAAGTGCCTTCGTAGCGACAACGGCGGCGAGTACACATCTCACCAGTTTAGAGAGTATTGTGTAAAACATGGCATACGTCATGAGAAGACAGTTCCTGGAACTCCACAACATAACGGTGTTGCTGAAAGAATGAACCGAACCATCATGGAGAAAGTCAGGTGTATGTTGAGGACTGCAAAGTTATCTAAGCAGTTCTGGGGTGAAGCTGTAAGGACAGCCTGCTATTTGATCAACCGATCTCCATCAGTACCATTAGGTCTTGATGTTCCAGAGAGAGTATGGACTGGTAATGATGTGTCTTACTCTCATCTGAAGGTGTTTGGTTGCAAAGCTTTTGTGCATGTGCCCAAAGAGCAGAGATCGAAGTTAGACTACAAAGCTACACCGTGCATCTTTCTTGGTTATGGCGGTGAAGATTTTGGTTACAGATTATGGGACCCATACCAGAAGAAGTTTATCCGAAGTAGAGACGTGGTCTTTTATGAAGATCAAACAATTGGGGATTCGGATAAAGAGGCACAACCAGATGGCGCAGTCAGAGGAGTTGATCCATTAGCTTCAGATGAAGAAAGTCACGATGACATCCCTGAAGCAACTGCCAATGAAGTGCCTGCAGAATCAGATAATGCTGATCAAGAGGAGCCTGATCAAGATGTGCCAGACCATGAGATTGCTGATCAGGGGGAGCCTAGTCAAGAAGAGCAGATTCAAGGAGAATCCAATCAGGGGGAGCCTCTAGCCCCGCAAGAGAATGAAGATCAGGTCAGAAGATCCATCAGAAGTCAAAGACCGTCTACCAAGTATTCTTCATCAGAGTATATCATGTTGACTAATTATGGAGAGCCCGAAACATATGAGGATGCCAGAGCTCATAACGACAGTGACAAATGGATGAAGGCAATGGAGTCGGAGATGGATTCCTTATCAAAGAATGATACCTATGAGCTGGTGGAGCTTCCAAAGGGCAGGAAAGCATTGAAAAACAAGTGGGTGTTCAAATTGAAAAGAGACGACAAACATGACAAGGTACAAGGCTCGTTTGGTTGTCAAAGGTTTTGGTCAAAAGAAAGGAGTTGACTTTGATGAGATTTTCTCACTGGTGGTGAAGATGACTTCCATTCGAGTTATCCTTGGTATGGCAGCAAGCATGGATCTTGAGCTCGAGCAGTTAGATGTTAAAACTGCATTTCTCCACGGCAATTTAGAAGAGGAGATATACATGGAGCAACCCAAAGGCTTTGAAGTCAAAGGTAAAGAAAATTTGGTGTGCAAGCTCAAGAAAAGTTTATATGGTCTTAAGCAGGCTCCGAGACAGTGGAATAAGAAGTTCAACTCATTCATGGTGAGTAATGGGTACAAGAGAACTCATGCTGACTCTTGTGTCTATATCAAACAATTTTCTGGAGGTAAATTCATCATTTTGTTGCTTTATGTTGATGACATGTTGATTGTCGGTCAAGATGCTTTTATGATTAAAAAGCTCAAAGAAGAGTTATCTAAGTCCTTTGACATGAAGGACTTAGGGCCAGCCAAGCAGATTTTGGGCATGGAGATAATTCGTGACAGAAAATCCAAGAAGTTGTGGCTGTCACAAGAAAAGTATGTTGAACGGGTGCTTGAAAGGTTCAACATGAAAACAGCCAAATCGGTAAGCTCACCTTTAGCCAATCATATCAAGTTGAGCAAAGAGTCGTGTCCAAAAACATATGAAGAAAAGGAGAAAATGGCAGTTGTTCCCTACTCTTCAGCAGTAGGAAGTATCATGTATGCAATGGTGTGCACATGGCCAGATATTGCTTATGCAGTAGGTGTGGTGAGCAGGTTTCTCTCTAATCCAGGGAAAGACCATTGGGAAGCTGTTAAGTGGATTCTCAGATATTTGAAGGGGACTTCTAAGATGTGCTTGTGCTTTGGCGGTTCCAAACCAATCTTGGAAGGATTTACAGATGCTGACATGGGAGGTGACCTGGATGGTAGAAAATCTACGTCTGGGTACTTGTTTACTTTTGCAGGGGGAGCCGTGTCTTGGCAATCCAAGTTGCAAAAGTGTGTTGCTTTGTCTACAACCGAGGCTGAATACATAGCCGCTACAGAAGCATGCAAGGAGTTGTTGTGGCTGAAGCGGTTTCTCCAAGAGTTGGGTTTGAAGCAAAGTGATTATGGCGTTTATTGTGATAGTCAGAGTGCTCTGGATTTGAGCAAGAACACTGCATACCATTCACGCACCAAGCACATTGATATTCGTTATCACTGGATTAGAGATGCTATCGAGAACAAGATGCTACAGCTGAAGAAGATTCATACCGATAATAATTCTTCAGACATGTTGACAAAGGAGGTCACAAAATCAAAGTTGGAATTCTGCATTAAGGCTGCTGGGATGGACTCCAGGTAACTTGGAGTCATGATCGGAATTCCTCCCTCATGGACTGGAGGGGGAGATTGTTGGTATATGGTCCAGCCCATGATCAATGTTCTAGATTATTCTAGTAAGCAAGAGAGATGGCTGGAGCATGCTAGACAATTCTAGCATGTTATTAAGTTGATGGAAGAAGCTAGAGAGTACTAGCTTCCTTGGTTGCAAATGGAAAGATCTAGAAGCCACACTTTTGTGGCTAGTCTAGATCTTTCTATGCTAGAGGTTTGAAGAATACACTAGAAACTAGTAGAATGCCAAACCCTCACCTATAAATATGGGTGTGATGTTGTAGTGAACCAACAAATCAAGAGAAGAGTGAGTAGCAAAGAATCAAGTCCAAAGCTAGAGTTCCACTCCAAGAGTGAGAGTGAGAGTGTTCCACTACACATTGTGTGAGTGAAGTTTAGAGTGATAGAAAGTGTGTGTTATACTTTCTTGTATCCATCAAGCCTTGTCTTTGGCTTGGTAAGACTACTCTTGTTGTATTCATCTTTTTCATATAGTGAAGATTGATCCTTGTTTGGTGGACGTAGGCATAAATTGCCGAACCACATAAATTCTTGGCGTCCATTTTCTACTTTACCTTGTGCATTCTCTATCTTGTAGTACCGACATTCCTAACACCCCAAACTCTCTGAAATTCTAGGCTTGGATAAGGCGTTAAACTCCATGACAAGTATTCATATGGAAGGGTGCACCAATCTCACTGCTTCTTTTAAAGAAGTGATCCTACAGGTCCTCTCTCTCTCTCTCGCACACATTCATGCTTGTAATCCTTTTTTGTTCCTATCTTGTTCCATGGTATAGGGATGGAATGCGAGAGGAAATGGTGGCCTTTTTCTCCCTGGACATGAAATTCCATCATGGTTTACGCATGTCGACCCTCTGGGTGAAATAGCTGTGCCGCAAAGTTTTGGCTGTGATTTAAAAGCATTGACTGTGTGCATCATTTATTCTTCAGACGACTCCAAATCTGGTGGCTCTCTTTGCATTCGTGTTGCAAATTATACCCAGAACACTGTATTTCTCATCTCTCCAATGCGTGCCACTGTAATAACTTCCCATGAAAATTATCTTTGGCTGGGAAATTTGTCAAACAATAAGCTCAATGTGAAAGGCGGAGACAAGATAAATGTTGGTGCACACTTTGTAGGACCAGGGACTACTGATGATATTCATCTCAGGGTGAAGAAAATAGGGATAAATCTGGAAAAGGAAAATTTAATCAATGAATATGCGCTCAGCTGTCAATTTATGCCATATTCAAGTGAGTGCAAAGAGGACGGCAATCATAAGGCAGGACACGGTGATGACTCGTCCCATGAGAATCAATCCCTCAAAAGACTCAGGTTGGATCCCAGTGTTGAAAGAAATGCAGAAGAAGAAACTGATGAAATCATGCAAGAAGCAAGCAGCGTGGGCTAACCGAAGAAGAAAAACATTCAGAAACTGAACTCGAGCTATTAGTACTTTTGGTACTCATACTATACTACATATTTCCCTTTTGTATGTAAGAAATGAAAATATAAAAAATTTAGATTAATTTCAGTTTACTACCAAGTTTTTTGGTTTTCAACATTTAATACAAGATGTTTTTTTCATTCCAGAGTGATACATAAAATAATAATTTTGAGACATTTTTATACATTTATTAAATTTGCCGTTAATTGATGAAGTGGTGTTCACGTGATTAGACGCCTCGTGTCATAAGGGGTCCACATAAATATTAAAAAATTAAAAAAAAAATTCTGGGGAACCGCACGGCCAAAACCCATCATCCCTTCCCTTCTCTCCCGCGCCCACCCAACCCTCCCTTCTTTCCTCTGCGCCCACCCAACCCTCTTCGATCCCCCGCACATCCAACCTTCCCCCTTCCTCTTCGACTCTACTCTTCTCTCCCCTGATCCTTCCATACCCGACCCACCTTTCCCTCACCACAATACCCCAACCCCACCCATTTATCGGCCGGTGGTCAACAAAACCCAGATTTACGGCCGGAGAGTCACACCTACCTGATTTGAATGCGGTGAAGAACACAACCCAGCGGCCGGAGAAGACGGTGGTGGGGAGCACAAACCCAGCGGCCAAACCCATGTTTTAATCTTTTCAAATTTTCTTTCGATTTTTGCGTTGAATATGGCCTCTGTTCTGCCATCTGAAGATATACGAACTAAGAAAATCGATCAAACCCCTCAAGTTTTCGTATTTGAAATTCTTTCTGTGCATCTGATTAGAGTTTTACCTCATCGATGCCATTTTTCAAATTTTGAACTTGCATTTGACATTCCAAAGCAAACCTCACGACATTCTGCTTGAACTCCTTCATCTCAAATCCCTTAAACTCATAAAACCTCTTCTTCTCCTTCTCCAAATCCTCAAGCTCCTCCACCTCACTCTTCAAAACCCTAAAATTATCCTCAATTCAATTTCAATTTCAATTCCCAATCTAATTCGCTCCAATTCAACCTAGTTAATGAATCATGAATCAAGCAACCAAAAACTTAATCAATTGGGAAAGTAATACCTCAATTGATGTGAATAGGATTGATATTTCTCGTTGAGGCGATCGATCTCGGACCTGAGCGCCCAGATCCTGAAGCTTTGCGATGCCCAGGTGATGAGAACAGAAAAAAGTGGAAGAGAGAGAGGAGAGGAAGAAGGAAGGGATGGGTGGGTTGGCAAGGGTGTAGCGGCACAGATGGTAGACAGTGGAAAAACTCTCCTGATGGTGGAGATTAAAGGGGGAGCTTACAGAGAATCTCAATCCACTGTTTGGTTTCCAAGAAAAAAATCAGAAGAAAAGAGAAAACTTTGCAGCATTTCAACCACAACTGCATTCCCCCATCACAACTTCTCGCATGCATTCAGAAAATAAAGCCAAAAAGAACGAAGAAATTCGGTACGAATCGAAAGAAAACCGAGAGAGCGCAGAGAATTTCAGTTACCCTGATGAGGGCGGTGCGAGCTGCGCGTCCGGGCGTCGGCGACAATAGAGTTGAGAAACAAGAACAAGAACGCCGAGTGCAGAAGAAGACAGAACGAAATGGGCCTCCATTGTTATGATTTTCCCGGCGTTTCTTGGAGGAGAGAGAATTTTCTCGGTTACTCTTTTTAATTTTTTTAATATCCACTTGGCGTCTAGTTATTGTTCACATGAGCACCACATTACCAGTTAACGACTGACTTAATCATGTGGGTATCACGTCACCATGTATGAAATTATTCTAAAATTTTGATTTTAAGTATCATTCTGAAATTAAAAAAACTTGATGTACTAAATGTTAAAAAAACTGGTTTATGAAACTATTCCAAAATTTTGACTTCAGTTTCCATTCCCCAAATGCTTCACCGGAACAATTGGATATTATGCAGAAATTCAATGTTCAATCTCGACGGTTGGATAGTATCGCTTCCATGAAATTAGAAGTTAGGTAAAAAATTTTGTGAATAAAGAAAGTTATATTATGAAACGAGAAATAGTAAATAAAAGACTATAGACCTGACCCACACAATAAAAAAGTGCCAAGAAATTGAGCCGGCCAGCCAAAGGATGCAGAAAGCTCCTCCTCTTTTGTGGACTTGAAACAATGGGGAGTTGACTTTACTTTGGTACTTGAAAATCGTCAGAATTGCTGCTGCAGTAGCATGCCAAATTGCCAACTGATGAAGATGGCCTCCTCCTCCTCTTCGTCAAAATGTAGCAAGTACGACGTGTTCTTGAGCTTCAGAGGCGAAACGCGCAAGAGCTTGACGGACAACCTCTACTGCACATTGAAAGACCACAGATTCAACGTCTTTATCGACGAGAACGAATTGACCAGAGGCGAGATTATCACACCAGCACTGAAGCAAGCAGTCAAAGACTCTAGGCTTGCTGCTATCATCTTCTCAAGCGGGTATGCCGAGTCGAGATGGTGTCTTGATGAGCTGGTCGAGATCTTGGCCAGCAGAAGAACAATGGGGCAAATGGTTTTGCCAATTTTCTACAATATCGATCCTTCCGATGTCAGGCATCAGAGGGGTGCTTTTGCGGAAGCATTTCGGAGACATCAAGAGCGCTTCCCTAAAATGGTGCAGACCTGGAAAGATGCTCTTAATGAAGCTGCAGAGTTGGCCGGCGAGGATTTTAGTGTGACTGACGGGTAATTACTTACTTCCTTTTCCTTTTTAATCCCTTAGTTATACAATTCAGTTGCCAACATCTGTTTACAAAATGTCGATAAACTGTAAATTGATTTCACGTAAAAGCTCATAATCTTTGATTTTATGCATTTAAATGCAAAGCTTAAATGCTCCGATATCAGAATACATCAATGCTTGATCTTACTAACAGTGTTCTCGGATTGAGCTAAATCACATCGATTGACGTAGTGCACCTGCGTCACTATATATTCAAATCTTTTCACTCCCAGAAAAACAAAAAAAGAATTTGGTAATGATGTGTTGAGTTTTAGAATTTTAGATAAGTTGAGGTTTTATCACACTATTGCTGTATAGTGCGACGAATGCATGATTAGGCTTTTGAAGATTAGGCCTTCGTCTCTCTCACACACCTTTCGATATTTTCGAATGACAAATAGTAGGAGAGATAGAAATACAAGAAATAGAACAATATTCAAAGACGTTTAGCAAACAAACATTTCATTTACATTCTTTACTTGAACAAGTAACTGTTGTGGCATATTTGAGAGACCTCTCTATGTACAAGTTTGATCTCCGCTTGCCTTTTTCTTCTTGATCATCTTTTCCTCAAGTAGTCCAGTGTCGGATCTTACTTCAAAATCCTTGTGAGAGGACTTACTCTCATGGAGATCTTACTTTCTCATCTTTGATTCAAGTAGTCCCTCTCTGCGTTTTGATCTTTGTGACTCAGAACTGTTTCGGTTACAAGTTCTGATCACTCTTCGCAAGAGAGAGCTTTCCTCCGCTTATTTGTGATGGTTTCATCTTTTGCATGCTCTCCTTGTGGTGTTCTCTTCTAACACTCACTTAGTCCTCATTAAATTCAGAGGTTATGCTCCTTCACTAGAGTCCTAACTTCATTCCATTTTTGTTGCACAATCCATTGGTGTTTTATGTTCTCTTCTCACACTCATACACGCATTCTGCTTTCAATCAGCACAGATATAGAGACTTTAATCTCTCAGTGAATGTCTCTTTTAGATATTTTTGGAGAGTTGTCTTCTTCAATTTTGTTCTACAAGTCGCAACTAAAGATATTAGTCTTTTCTTTTATTTTGAATTTTAACTACCAGGTATAAAGGAAGGTTTGTCAGGAAAATTGTTGACGAGATCACTAGGAAACTGAAGAACACAAACTTAGCCGTAGCCCCAAACCCAGTTGGAATAGATTCTCGCGTGCAAGAAATTGGTAACCATTTGGATGTCGAAGGATCATATGATGTTCGCATAATCGGAATTTGGGGTATGGGCGGACTGGGTAAAACAACGGTTGCCAAAGCCATTTTCAACAAATATCAGGGTATGTTTCAATGTGCAAGTTTCATTCCTAATGTGAGAGAAGATAAGAAACTGGTTGATTCGCAAAACACACTTCTTTCTGATGTATTGAGATCGGGAAACATAAAGGTTAGTAGAGCTGATGAAGGGACCGAGGATATAAAAAGAAGACTTGGCAACCTAAAGGTACTTGTCATAATTGATGATGTAGACAGCGTGGACCAGTTAGATGCATTAGGTATAGAACGTGACTCGTTTGGTCCAAGAAGTAGAATTGTCATAACAACAAGAAATGAACATTTGCTAGAGGCACTAAAACCGGATAAGATATGTCATCTACCAGCAATGAATAAAGAAGAATC